TAAAACGTTCTAACTGATTTAACTGTAACTTAATATTTGCAAGCTCAGAAAAATATTATAATACTCAGCACATATTGTACTAAGAGAGGGCAAGTAGGTTCATCAAAGCTTGCTAAATAGTTTTGTTTACAGGGCTCATAAACCAAAATGGCTTCTTCTCATTCAAAACTGAAGAAGCGCCGAATTCTTATAAAGAAGACAGTAAATATCACAAAAATATGTATTGTTCTGCAGTTGAGTTAAAAAACCAAAGTTGAGGCGCTCTTCAAGATGTTCTCATACCTGCTTTTTCTTCATTGTTGATTCCGCTTTTATTTGCTTCATCATCTTCTTCGGTAATTGATATTTCATTTTCATTGCGAAATACTAAATTAGCTACGCGTAATGCTTGATTCAGACGATCCTAGAATAAGAAAAATATTAAATTTATACAAATAGAAAATTCATAAATAAAGATAAGTAATAAATAGTTTGTCATGTAATGAAAAAACAAATCTACATTCACCGCATAAAAACAAGTATTAGATAAGAATTTTCAGGTTCTTTTCGTCAGAAGAACAAAAAAATATATTTCACTCACATAGGCTGCTGTATCCCGTGTAACAGTCACTTCATCTCTATCCCCTCCTAATCCCATTCTGTTAATCTGTTGTCGATGCCAAAGATTTTGTGCATTTATTGATTCATCAACATAATCTTCATCATGATCATTATCATCTTCAAATTCCTCGTTTACAGCTGTTCGTTTTGTCAATTTTATTTTACGTTTTGATGGTTCCTTTTTAATCAATGGCTGTTCAACTAACGATGATAATAAATCTAAATCGGCTCTTGTATCGATTTTCTTCACAGAAGGAGCAGTCGATGGATGATGTGAATGTTGTTGTAAAAACTTGTTTACTGAATGAGAAGCATGTTTGTTTTTGTATTTGCTTCTGAAAATAAAGAACAGAAGAATATATTAATTTCCAGTGAAAAACGCGGATATAACTCATTTTAAAAGTCTTAACTGCTGCTCTCTCCTATTGTAAAATAGAGAACAAGCCAAATGAACTCAGTATTAAAAGTGTTACACTAGAATTTCAAGTTTTAAAACAAGGCAAATCGACTTGACTGGCTTATCGAAACAAAGTCTGTGTACCTTTTGCAGTTAAACAAATATTGTTGTTTTTTATTTGTCACTCGTTAGCAAAAGTCAACATTACCCTTTTGTATTTTTCTTTTTAAATGTCATTAAATCTTCACAGTCGTCATCTTCGTTACTATCACTTCCGGTTTTTGAATCAAGATGAACAGTTTTAAGGCCTTGATTGTTATTGTTATTGTCTGTTAATAGTGGATTCTTAAGGTATGTTCGTACTTTATTTCGCTTTCCATCTAAACATTTATCTGTTTGTCGATTAAAAAAATCATCATCATCTTCTTCACAATCGGCATTGTCAGGTACTGTCGTTAAAAAATTACACATAAAACGTTGTGTGATATCACGAGAGCTGATTGTCATCTGAAACAATAAATAATCAATCAAGAATTTCGTTTTGAAAAAGAACTTGTTGTAACAAAAAAAGTCACTTTACTATTATTATAAATACTTAATTTTCTATTTCTAATTGCTGCAAGCATTTTTTCTAAGGTTCAAAAAATGAAAGTAAGTAAACATGTTGTCAGAAGGAAGGCAGAATAAATGTCTTCATTTATCAATTAGAATTAAATCTAATCATCATTCAACATGATACGTGTTCTTCCCGTTAATGTTGAAAAGATAAATGGACTAGAGCAAATTTTTTCGTAGTAGACAACAGAATAGCAAAAAGAATAAGTAATTTAAATGTGCTGAGCCAGGAAATACAATAGAAAAGTTTGCAGATGTAATGGCAACTGAATTAAAGCGTAGTGAAAGACTTTGCAAAGTGAAATCAAGAATAGAAGTTGACTTTTTCTTACTATACATATTGTATCACTGATCACAAAGAATGGACAAGCATGAACAGTACGTTTTATTCGAATATGCTTTGTACTTTGTCTGCGAGTTATAGCCAATCCGTTACTAACTGGCTGATCTGTGGTGGTTATAAACGTCTGTGATATGATTTTAAAAAAAAAATCTTAATGTGTGTTTTTCTCACAGATACTGGTTACCTTAATTTCTACGCTAGTGAGTAATATTTATCATTCATTTAATAGAAGCGTAGAGGTAAAACTATGACTACCATTGAACAGATTTTTGTTGATGTCAATGGATAGTTGATGACAGTTCTGAAAGACGAAAGAAGTTATTTTTTAGAACATACAGTTTAGAAGGAAAAGAGGATGTCAAATGCTCCTGATGCACCACCGTATCCTCAATCACCTGAACTCGAAGAACCATCTCCCTTGGCGTACGCTGAAATATTGGTATATCAAAATCTTGTTTTCTTAGTGCAGTAGCTTAATATCGAGTTTATTCAAAATTTTAGACTTTCCAGTGGTGTTTTGGTATCAACAAGGATATTCCCGTATTGAACTTATCCATCAATTCGACGAAGAAAATATTTTATGTCGCTTCACAAATCGGTGTCTTGTACGATTTTAGCAGTAACAAACAACAATTACTTATTGGGCATGTAAGTGTTGTATATTCTCATTTTTTTGAAAATAATACTTCATATATTTTGTATTATATGATAGAGAAATAACATATCGTGTTGCTGTGTTAGTGATAATAAACGATGGCTTGTTACAGCTGACAGTGGTCCGGATTGTACAATTATTGTTTGGGACACCATATCAGGGTAAACGCAGTTCACTTATTTTTCATATATTCTCTAGTGAACGTACGTGTCCAAGTACTTGATTACTTGATAGAGATTTCTACGAAGAACTTTGCGAAAGTACTCACAGATTTACTTGACAAGTACTTATAAGTAGTTGTTAAGTGAAAAATCAGATACCTGAAATAATCTTACTTCTGGAGAAAAGGCCACCATGACGCACACAAAATGTTTATTCGAAGTACATGTACTCGAATTACACTGTAAAAGAAACAATATTTTTACGCTTTAGACTACCAAATCAAACATATTTCGATGTTTTGAATGGAGGTGCAAATGCCGTGGCAATTAGCTTTGATTCTAAATATATTGCTACACTTAGTAAAGACGGTCCACAGGTAAGAGATTCAACAAGAGTCATTTCTGTGTGTATGTGCAATATTACAAATTGTTTCAGATTATGTCTATTTGGGATTGGACTTCAGCTAGCGATGAGCCATTATGCGCCGTAGAGTTGAAGAAAGAATATGATAATCAATATTTTATTCGGTTTAATAATCGCGATGCATCTCAACTCGTGTCCAACTCGACAACACAAGTCTTGTTTTATGATTGGAATCCACAAGAGGGAATTACATGTTTTGATCCTGAACTAACGGAGCGTGTATGTATACTAATTAGAGTCTATAGTTTTTCTAGACTGGCTGTATATTTTTAAGACATTCAATAGCTCTCGAGAAAAATTAGGTTATTTAACTCAATCAACTTTTTTATTAAATTCCACCCAAGCAATAACGGCAACAACAACAGGAAAACTTGTACTCTGGGATTGTAAATTAAATCCTGCAAATGTCAACAGTAAGTGAATATCGTTAAACACTATTTATTACTGAATCAGTTCTTTCTTTATTACTTTAGGGGATCTAATGTCGCGTGATAATACGAATATGACAAATAAACGTGATCGTTCGAAGGGTTTAAATCGAGAAGAAACAGGCGCATCCTCAATTACTTCAACCAATCGGACACTGTCGTCGGGTACAAGTGTTAGATCACAAACTAAAAATATAAATGAAAAAGAAATATCCGATGTGAGTCAAAAACAAGATCGAATACGAAAAACTCTGAGAAATGATAGTAAGTTTGATAAATTAGTATGCATAAACGTATTCATCGTTTTTCTTTTCTTTTCTGCATAGATCAGCAACATTCATTAATGAATAAAAAAGCATTAAAGTTGTGTGAACCCCAGAAGAAAGCCATTACTGTCTTAACAACAGTAGATGAGTATGTTTTATAAATTATACTATTTTTTTCAAGATATCCGGGTGAAAAACGTCCGATCGGATCCCGAAGGATCTGTTTCATTCCTAATACTTTCGGCTGTCTAACCGGATCCGGTGAGCGGATTCCGTTCAATTATTGTTCCTTCCTTTATATTCCAATGTGTGGAACTAAGGTTGATTCGATCACCGGATCATCGATTTGTTTCTCGGTGTTTTTAGTATAAATACGATACTGTAGAACATGAAACATGAGAGTGTTTTTTTTCTTCAAGTTTTCTCACTGAACAGTGTGAGTCATCGAAACTCACTGCTGTTCGAAGACGTGTGACTCAGTCAATTACACACGGCTTGGGCTAGTCCCAGGAACTGATTCCAAAAATAAATAGTGAACAAGAAGAAAGATATTTATAGTTAAATATTAGCTTTTAACGGCTAGAAAAACTGCTCGTAAATCCGATGCTTTCCGCTGCTGTTTCTGACGGTCGGATCCATACAATTTCCGATCGGAATTCAGACAATAGGATTCGATGCAATCCATCACGGATCGGGATGGATTTTGTCGGAATCCGGTGTCTTCCGACGTCGGATCCAACCAGCTTCGACCGGATCATGAGTCAGGAATAGACGACCTGTGTATACTTTATATGGATAAAAAAACGGGGAATGATTATGATAATCTTTGTATACGTTCTCGAATACATTCCTCTCTCGTATCTCATCTTCATTATTCAACGAACTTGCTACTGTGCATTATTGTTTGTTTACTGTGTTAGTTTAGTCATAACGGGTGATTCCGACGGTATTATACGATTTTTCGATCAAGAATTAAAATTAAGAATGTGGTATCAACATTTCAAATTGGGTCCAATCAAATCTATATCATTCACATTCACAACAACAGACTATACGCCAACGGAAACCGTGGATGACAAAGATTTGGAAAATGAAACTACACTAGCACAACCAAAATTCATCACACCTGATTATATTATCAGTTCAACAACCGCATGTATCGGTCATATTTCATCAAGTGGAAGTAAAATACAAATCATTAAACGAGATTCAGATTCTGGTAAATTCATCCGACAAAACTATCTATTTATCATTTTGAATGCTCCGTTAGCTAGATTCAGTACATAAGTGATACAAAAACATCATTGTTTGTAATTTTGCTCTGCAATATCGCACAAGATCAATATTTTGATCTTTTCTAGTTTATTTTTTATTTTATTTTAGCAATTTATGCTCTAGTAACTCATCCATTTGAAAGTAAACTCTGTTTTGGTAATTGTAACGGTCGCCTTCAGCTGTGGGATTATGATGTGAAACAACTGATAACCTCAGCAGTTGCAACAAAAGTAGCCGTTACATCATTGCAGTACAATCATAATGCTAGCTGTCTAGCTATTGGATATCGAAATGGTGAATTACAATTATGTGATCCATTATCATTAGAAAGTATTTTGAGAGCACCATTCAAATATGCGAGATCATCGATTGAAATTATACAATTTTCAAATGATTCAAATTATTTAGCCACGGCAGTAAGTGAATTTAGAATATCAAAAATTTGTATTCAGTAACTTAAACTATGTATAGTATTATGATAAACTATAGCTAAAAATAATCAAATGGTATCTTTTTTATCTAGGAAGAAGATTTTACGGTCTCAGTATACCGTCAAAACTTATTTAGTCAAGAAGTCTATACGTTTCTTGGTAGATATCGTGCACATTACAAACAGATACGTAGTATGTTCTTTGGATTAACTCTCGACGACAATCTACCACGTTTAATAACGATAGGTTTGTTAAAATGATTAATTTTACAAGCTTGTACCTCTTCTCATTTTTACTGACGTTTTCCATATCATACGAATAATAACTCAACTAGTTATAGATCAAAAATTAATTTTGTTTTAAAAAACTAGTATTCGCTCAATATTATGTTTATTTGTTTCATTTAGGTTCTGATCGTGTATTAAGTGAATTTGATCTATTAGAAAGTGATTTTGATAATTTGATTTTGAAAACTCCTCAACGTGTTGAACAAACATGTGTACCAATGTGTGCATGCTGGTATCCACCGGGAATAACAAAAGAATCATTTCTACTCACAGCTAATTCTGAATATAAGTATAAATTATTTAATAGTGAAACAAAAATGTGTCGAAAAACAACATTGGGACCAACATTTGGATCACCATTACGCAAAATTCAAGTATTACCTCAAACAACAAATCAAAATAAACATTATTTATATTTTATGACACAAGATAAAGTTGGACTACAACGTTTACCATTAACGGGAAATCCGTATGATCAAATGGCCGTTATTATGCATCCAAATAAGGTAAGAAAAAAAGTCATTAATCTTATTATATTATTCAGTTATAATTTTAGGTTGCCGATGTTGTGTCAAGTTTTGATGGAAAATATTTGTTTTCATCTGGTGGTTTAGATTCGACTATACATATGTTAAAAGTAAATACCGATGTATTGGATGTCCAATCGAATCTTGGTGGTGCAGATCTGATACCATTTTATAAATTGCTAGAAGGTGGCAGAGAAGGTGATATATTTAAAGAAATGCAAGATCTATTTTATTATAGTCAACTGAGATAGTAAGTGTTTTTAAATAAAAGAATATATAAGACATGTGTGCTGCCTTTTGTTTTAGTCAAGGCTTGGATCGTTTTGATCGTCGAGAAGTCGCACCTGTTATACCCTTGAGTGAAATACCATTTGTTATGAGAGCTCTAGGATATTATCCGACGGAACAAGAAGTGAGTCATTATAACACATATCATTTAGCCATTTTAAGAATTGTGCACATCTGTTTAGATTGAAGAAATGTTAAATGAAGTCAAATTTAGTAAATATGTTGATACAAACACATACGTAGAAGAGATCGATTTAAATGATTTCATCAAATGTATGTAGTTCTCGTCTAGTTAACTAAAAATCTAGCCAGTCTCATATAATCATCTGACAAAATCTCTGATCTTAGTGAGAAGAGAACAATAGCTAGCAGCTATTTATTACAGACTGGAACGTCAAGTAAATATCATAGTGAAGATCTTGTGGGACCTTTTCGTATATAAAGTGTGTAATAGGTAATAAGTGCATTTTACGTAATAAAATTTGCCATTCTCAGTATATAGCAGCATTTTCGTCAACTGCAAATGAAATATATTATGTATTTTCTTAGAAAATTATTTTTTCTTCGTTTAACCTTAGTATATATCAATCATCGTCCTGCCTTTGGTTTAAATCCATCAGATTTATATCAAGCATTTGAAGTACTTGGCGATAATCTAAATTCTAAAACATGTGAACCGGAGATAACTCGTGAGAATTTACTTTATTTATTGCAAACATTTGGTGAACATATGTCAGAATATGAATTGGCTGATTGTCTTTGTAATTTATTAAATTTACAAGAAAACATTGACGATATGAATACAGCAGATGCGAGTAAGTAGACATTAAATTAATTATTATCTATCTATTTCAAATTTTTGTACTTTCAGGTGAATTTGTTGAAAGTAGATTGCCAAATAAAATTACGCTGCAATCATTTATGGAAGAATTATTAAAAATGCCTTCACAATATGTTGAACAATGTTTATACACGGTATTACAATTAAAAAGACCAATTACTGACGGGAATGATAGATCATATGAAAGACAAAAAAGTATTCGATCACAACAATCAGAATCACGAGCATCAACGACTTCATAATTTATCGATTTTTTCATAAAAAAACCTTTTTCTATAGTAAAAAAGCCTTTTTTTGTACGTTTTTTGATGTTTTTCTTTAATTTAAAAAGATTTACCATCATGAATAGTATGCAGAATACTTGAATTACATATATTCATTCATTAAAAAGACAAGTTGGTTTCGTGAAACAACTGATGGCACTACATCAAATGTAGTATAAACTTGTCAAGAAATATCGTTTGTGAGCGATGTATGAAATAATTGTAAATTTTATGAAATTATGGTAAAAAAGTATAAATAATACTTTCTTTTAGAAACGTGCTCAATTGAATTTAGTTTGCATTTTAAGTAAGTTGTTTTAACGTAAGTTTTGCTTCCGATTAATATTTTACCATTCTTATCCTTGGATTTTATTTTTTCTAATACAGCTATCTATTCGTTTCTCTTTGTCTCTCTCTTAATCTCACCTTTCTTATCTCTTACATAGCACACATGACTTACTGTGTTTAAGTTTCAACCGTCACTTCAATAGTAAAAACGAGATAGAAAAGTCATCCGAAATTGAAACAATAGGTTAAAAATTTGGCAATGCCTGTGATCACTCATATGACCATTGAAGATATTCGATTTCCCACCTCACGTGATCTTGATGGCTCGGATGCAATGAACCCTGATCCCGATTATTCATCGGCTTATGTTATTTTACATACTGATACCAAACTCGAAGGACATGGTAGTTCATTTACTATTGGACGTGGAAATGAAATTGTTTGTGTTGCAATTAAAGCTTATGAACATTTAGTTGTTGGACAGCGACTTGAAAAATTTATTGAAAATCCTGGCTTGTTCTGGAGACGGTTGAATAATGATTCACAAATTCGATGGATAGGACCAGATAAAGGTGCTATCCACTTAGCTTTGGGATCTATCGTCAATGCTCTCTGGGATTTATATGCGAAATCGATGAATAAACCACTATGGCGTCTTATTGTCGACTTTACACCTGAGGAGTTTACTAGAGCAATTGATTTTCGATATCTGACAGATGCACTGACACCTGAGGAAGTTTTAGAAATGCTAAAACGTTTAGAACCTACGAAACAAGAACGTATTGCTCAACTAGAAAAAGAAGGCTATCCGGCGTATACCACCAGTGCAGGATGGCTAGGCTACTCGGACGATAAAATTCGTCGTCTTTGTCAAGAAGCTTGTCGAGATGGATGGACACACGTTAAAATAAAGGTAGGACGAGATTTAGAAGATGATATTCGACGATTAACAATAATTCGTGAAGAAATCGGATGGGATCGCAAATTAATGATTGATGCGAATCAAGTTTGGGATGTTCCTCAGGCCATCGAATGGATGAAATCACTAGTCAAATTTAAACCATGGTGGATTGAAGAACCAACGTCACCTGATGATATTTTAGGTCATGCGACAATTGCCAAAGCACTTGAACCATTCGATATCGGTGTAGCGACAGGAGAACATGGAATGAATAGAATCTTGTTTAAACAATTACTCCAAGCCAAAGCGATAAAATTCTGTCAAATAGATTCATGTCGCCTAGGTGGGGTTAACGAAGTATTAGCCGTATTACTTCTTGCCGCTAAATTTGGTGTTCCTGTTTGTCCACATGCTGGAGGTGTCGGCCTTTGTGAATTTGTTCAACATTTGTCAATGATTGATTTTGTCTGCGTGAGCGGTACCTGGGAAAATCGAGTAACAGAGTATGTCGATCACCTTCATGAACATTTTGTCGATCCCTGTCGAGTAGAAAATGGACGGTATCGAATACCAACACAGCCAGGTTATAGCACAGAAATGAAACCAAGCAGTCGAAAAGAATATATGTATCCAAATGGAAGTTGTTGGAGAAACATGAAATAGTTTTCATATATACTGCTGTAGACTTTTGTGTGGAAACTTTTGTTATACCGAAGTGAAGAAAAGTCACATGTTCGTTACAAGGAGTCTGCTGTTGAGTATTGATATTTTGCAATCGTTTAATAGTAGTAATAGTGGCTTAAAATACAAAGATCCTTTCTTGAACTATTTTCATCTAAGATACTTGACAATCTTAAAAATTTCACTTTTCTAATATAACTAAGCAACGTTAAATGTTCCTTAATCAGAAAAAGCATGAATTTGAAAATACAGCGCAAATAAGAAATTGGGGCAAAAATGGTAATGAATGATCTTATAGTGTATTGAACCCTTGTCTTATATTCACTGGGAAAAAACAGATCGAACATTTCACTAGTGAGTCCGGGTGAAAGTTGGAATGTTGGAGTTTCTTTTCCCTGGTGGACGCATCATCCGGTGTAACCATCATAAATGATTGATTATTCATGTGCATCAGCCATTCTTGTTGAACTATTAAGTAAACTAGATGTTTATAAATTGAAAATTTAATAATAATATTAAAACAAATGTTGTTGTTCTGACAAATGCACAATAGGAAAAAGTACAATGTTTGATCGACTGACACATGGTATACTTAGAAGTTTCTTTCGTTTTCCTCGCTTTTGTAATAACTCTGATATTTACTATACGTAGCAGTAGTTAAAGTTGATTTCGCCGTTGTGCATTTTAGAAACTATATATCGTCCTTAATAACTTCAGACTCATATCAGCCAGATCGAACGATTTTAAAATTTTGCTCACTCGAAACCCACGACAAATTCGGATTCTCCATAGTCGATTACCTTTTACGCAACAAATTTTGGATCGCGGTACTTTCAAATACTTTCATAATGTTGTTTAGCCTTTGATCCCTCCATAAACTTATCAACAAATTATTATGCAAAATGATGGGGAAAATTTTTCGAAAGTATTTCGTTCCAAAATTTGTTGTATAGAAAGTAATCAACTATGTGAAGAGTCTGAATCTGCAATCGATTTTGAGCAAACAAACTTTTAAAATTTCTTGATTGGGGTGATATGATCGATCGTTCGGTATTTATTCATTCTTTATATACGCACTGAAATATAACAGAGAAGCAAATAAATAATAATTCATTTGACTAGTCGAAAGCGACACTCCTTCTTTTAGTTTAGAGCATGAAATTATCTTCAAAAGGTGACTGAAGCTATAGGATTTTTTGTTATTAAGGGTTGGCACTTTCTTTATCTTGTCATGTCGAAGGGTGAGGGCTGCTGTGACGATTATATACAAACTTAGCACTCAACAAAATTCGTAGTTCGCTAAGCTGTATGTTTCGTATGAATCATTTTCATTATCTATCAGACAGTAAGTTCTTTTTGAAGATCGTCATTGCTATGAAGTGAAGAAAATAATCGACATCCTAATATTTAGCAACTCTGAAATCGATTTACACCTAAGATCTTGCATTTTGATAATATTCTTTCAAAATAAGAGGGCGTTTCAAAATATATTCCATTCGCTCGGTCGTTATTCCTCTATTCCGTTCGTTCCGTATAGCTATGATACAACGTAATCCCCCTTCTATAATAGAAGCCTCCGGGGCTTCTAAACTGTCCAAGCGTTCAAAACTTTCAGGGGGGGGCTACTATTACGACTTTCATACAAAAATTTCCAGAAAAAAAAGATTTTGAATTTCGATGCTCTTGTCTTTCTAATCACGGTAATCTCAATTAATCTGAAAAAAATCTTTTTCGAGATAAAAAATGTAAATTTTATTCGTTTCCTTTTTTTTTACACACGACATCACACTTTCCTTTGT